AGTATAAATCTATTTCTTATTACAATCTCTTAATCTCTTGCGTTGGAATTCAATAGATAATTATTCAGTAAATAAGTGTATAATTGTTTAAATTGCGTATGTTAATTCGCAATTAATACAGCGATGAATTTGCTGATAAGAAATAACATTTCAACTATATATTCTTCTACAAAGTTCAAGCTTGGATAATTTAACAAATTAGATATTAAAACATGTTAAGTAGCGAATGTGGTGTGCCTCTCATATATTCTTAATTCGTAATATTCTCTATTCTTTTGAGCAATAATAATTTTACTAAAATACAATTTGACGAATGAATTTCCAGATCAACTTAATAATTATTAAAATGCGTCAAATCGATAGAAACGATCGCGGTCGCATTATTTGTACAACTGTTGTAATAGATTGCTAATTCCAACGGAAGGGATTAAGTCGTCACTGTAAATTACTCTTTCAATAACACTTACGAATCCGCTCGAACTCCAGAGGGAAACAGCATCCTTGAATGTGCGAGTTGTATACGTCGAGGAAATATAGCGAGCTGCATGGGAGTCGTTTCTTATCGGAGGAAGTACGCGACGATTATTACGATTATTTGTGTAAGTCTCTCATGTAACTAGCCAGTCCATATCCCAACTCGGTCGTTATCGGCCGAGGCTTTATTGTAACGAATTGCAGATGCAATCAACGTGAACTGTGTTAATCGAAGCAAGTCGTAACAGGGAGACATGTACCGCGCGTACTGCACTTCCTCGGTCACGCGACTTCCGGCAAATGCAAAATAACGTATACGATATATCAGTCGCATCCAATTATTACTTGACCGAGATTGGCAGCCACTTCGCCATTGCGAAAGACGTGGAATTCGTAGTTGTGCCTCAACCCCAATGCCGAAAGAAAATGCAAAGAATAAGTGGATTAAAGGATATTGATTTCATTTCGTTTGAAATGAATTTTCCAATTTTTTAATTCATGAATGGAAAATTATCTGCTTCTTATTTCTCTTGATTTTTTATTAATTATATATTTATTTGTATATTTACTTGTACATCGCATAGCAAATTTCTTTTTATTCTAAAACATTATATCAAGCACAACAACAAGTCGATAACGTCAAAATAATGTCAAAATGATTCCAAAATGATCATTAAAAGTTTTAATAGTAAAAGTTAATCGTACAATTTAACATTATCATGACGTGTTATTTTGCTTGGGATACTTATTAATTATAGCGTTATGCTGGCCTTATTTTAAAGGAATTGGAGAAATTGGAGAAATTGAAAAGAATTGAAGAAGTTATATTTACGAAATATAAATAGTATTAAGAAATATTAATAGTATAAATAGTATTATACTACATCGGTAAAAATAATTAAAATAGAAGTATTAATAATAGTTTATTCTAATAACGCGGAATTTCATTTTTTAATTCAATAGAATAAATTTTTATCAATTTTTTTAATCTACTTATTTTTTGCAAGGAATGCATAAGATACATAGATAACGAAAGAATAAAATTTCATAAACGTAGGTCAAATGGAAAATTGCTATCGCCGTGCGTTATTCGTAATGCCATCATCCACATCGATGCTTCCATATTGGGTATATTAAGAGAAAAGAATAGAAAAAAAGAAAGCAAATTATAGAGCGAATTATTCGTTGGCAGCTGCTA